TCTTCTCGCTGCTGAGCCCGCCCGCCCCCCCCAGCCACAGGCTCCTCACCCCCTCCTCTTCCCTTCCCTCGCCTGAGCCTCCCGCTTGCCAACATGCACGAGTGCACCTCAGCCACGACCCTCCCCCTGCGCGGAGCTGCCTCCCGGGAGGGCTTGAACTCAGGGGGGACAAGTCACCCTCAGCCGAGAGCGTCTCCCCCACTTGGCCACCCATTCGCCAGAGGCACCAGGAGAGCGGGGCTGCCCGCCCTGTTCTCAGCCAGCCCCGGGCCTCTGTTCTCCGAGAGCATCTCCCCCACTTGGCCACCCATTCGCCAGAGGCACCAGGAGAGCGGGGCTGCCCGCCCTGTTCTCAGCCAGCCCCGGGCCTCTGTTCTCGGGCTCTCACTTACGCAGCCACACCCGAAGCTCCACGATCGTTCTGCAGGCTCTGCCCTGGAGGCCGCCCCTTCCTCTGCAGGAGAGAAGTCCCCCGTTAACGCCTCTCTCAGCAGGCCCCGAGGAGCTGGAGCAGCTAGGAGAGCTGGGCCTGGGCCGAAGGAACCAGCACTGCTGAGCAGGGTGATGGCCACAGGTCGCCCTGGGGGCTGCCCCTTCCCAGCACCCAGGAGGGAGCCACCGTGAGGCCTGCGCAAGGAACAAGGGCCAGGCTTCCCCACGGGGCAGTGCCGGGGTGGCCTCCTTACCTTTTTGGGAACAGGGCTTCCTCGCCGACTCACTTCCTCTTCTGCCTGCCGGGCACGCTGGCAAAGCAACGAGCAACAGGATGAACGCGGCCCCTGTCCATCCCAGGAGCGCCCCGGCCACTCTTCCCTTGCACCAAGAAGCGCCCGGCGCTCGAGAGGCACAGCAGCCCACCCTGATCCAGGAGACGGGCGCTCGGGTCCCATCTGCCGTAGGGAGGCCAGACCTGGGTGCCTCCCTGCTCCGGCCAAGCCCCCTGCTCTCCCCAGGCCATTTCCTTATGGAGACTAGGAACCCACTTACCCAGGGGCGTGACGAAGGACAGACTGGCTAGGAGATGCCTGCCCGCCCCACTGGTCTCTAGCAGATAAGAACCCAGTCCTGCTCTGGGGCTCTCCTAGCTCCTGCCAAGCCCCTGCTAGAGAAAGGGGGTGAGAAGCCCAGCCCCCATGGCCCAGCCCACATCCCTACCTTTGGCACTGACTGCTCATGGCTCAGTCTGGGGATCACCTTCTTGCCATCCGAGAACAGCAGCTTCGCCTGCGGAGAGGGAAAGGAATCGTCCTCCAGCAGCTGCTGCAAGGAGGCGGCCGGACGCGGCATTCCCAGCTGCTTTGATTCCCATGACCTCATCTCTGGGGCGGCGCACACATTTCTGCTGAGCCAGGCCACACGCACAGTGCTTGCTTGTGCCAGATGGCTCAGGCCTTTCCCTTCGTGCCGCCCCTCGATCCGTGCGCCACCCGCAAACTCGACCAGTGGGATTTCAGGCTGCCTTTCGGGTCGTGGGTATAAACGTTAAACATGTGGGGCCAGGAACCAATCCCTGTGGGATGCCCCGAAAAGCACAGCCCTTGAGGAGGAGCCTGTTTAGTGCTGTGCGTTGGTCTGACGTCCACTCGTGGGCACCACACTGCCTCGGAGAATCCTCGTCTCAATCAAAACGCGTGGTGCCCAGTCAGACTCCTTCCCGCCACACCAGTCCCCTTATCCTTCCCAGCCAGACCCGGAGCCTCCTCCAAGGAGATGGTACGCCAGGCCCAGGCCCTAGTCCGTACAGGCCCACGCTGCCGGGCGGGGTCCCAAGGAGGGCCTGATGATAGAAGCAAGCCAGCGCTGCAGCCCCTCAGTCCACCCCACCCCCGCAGAGATGAAGCTGTGCTTCAGTGCAGGGAGCGGCAGCCCCACTGGGTGCAGCAAGGAGGAAGAGCTCTCCAGGTCTCGGGCGCTCTGGCTGCTCTCCTGGGAGCTTACAGCGCCTCGCTTCCTGGCATTGGGAAATCCAATTCAGAGCCAGGTACTGAGAGAACAGAGACGCCTCCCCCGGAACGCAGGCGCCCCAACTGGTAATTAGCATCACAGCCCGGCCTGAGCAGCATTAATCATCCGGCCAAGAGGCAGGCAGCCACCTCCCCACCACGCCCTCAGTCAGGGAAGCAGAACCCCCGCCCCTCCAGAGGACTGGGCCTGGGCCTCCAGGCTCACAACCCAAGAGCAAGTTCCAGAGTCCCAGGCTCTCAGACCGTGCCCTGCCAGGGGCCCTCTGTGCTCTGTACCTAAGGGAATCCGGCGGAGCGCCCCCCCGCAGAGGCTGAGGGAGACATGTTGATCCCCAAGACAAGGCCAGTCACAGCCACAGTGCCCTGTAGGCTGCACCTAAGTATTTAAGACCCGCCCACCTCGTTAGCAGAGCCCTTCAGCAGTGTTCCTGCAGCCCTGCACCCATGAGCACTGCTGGCACCAGAGCTGGAAGTGGGAACAGGTTGGGGGGGGGGGGGGGACAAAAAGCCAGGGCAGCTGCTCAGGCAGCTCTATGTCCCCTGCCCTCTGCCGCGTGTTTTGTTGGGCTGCTTTAAAAAAAGGCTCCTCTGCCCCCTTCCCTTTCCCCCAGGTAACTCCAGCTGCTTGGCTCCTGTTCAGAGTGCAAGGCAGGAAGGCCCCTAAGAGAGCAATCCGCATCTGAGAACAACTCGACTCCCTGCTAACCTGCTGCTACAGTGAAGCTCGTTGTCCACCCATGCGATTCAGACACTGCTCAGGTGCAGAAATAAAACTTAACGAATAAAACCTGAGGAAGGATTTCATTCCTCTTTCCACAGAGCTGAGTTACGCCAGACTTGTGACGTGTAAACCACTGAAATATTAAAAACCCTGTTTCCTAGATAATAAGGGAGCAATATGTGCACAAAAGTCCTTGGAAATGAGCCCATTACGTAACCATCTTTAATTTCAAGCATAAAGCGTAACAACCAGTGCTTTTTTTGTGGCAGCACGCGCCTTTTTGGGAGCACTCGCGCCACACCGGAAGGAAGCCCACTAGGGACATGCAGCAATTAAAGGAGCCACGACCATTTCTTTTTTCTTTTTTCCCACCTCAATAATTTTCCATTGGTATTTCACATAAAAAATGATTGTTTGGTGTTCCATGGTCTTTAAAAGTTTAAGATTTTAACAAAAAAAAAGCACTGGTAACAACTATTTCATTGCATGTATCAATACTAATCAAAATATTTTGTTTGCTCTATCAAGAAAATGGACAATTTTATTTTATGCCTCAAAGGAAAAGATACATGTAAGATACCAAATGGCTACTGAACATTTTGCAGTATTAATTTTAGAGAGATCTATCTATTTGCTAGTAACCGGCAGGTGCTGCGGCGGCACATATGACCTCAATATTGGTGCACATAACGAAACTCCCTCTAAGGTTATCCATCCGTGAGTGGAGTGAACACTGGTCCGAGGCTACTTACTGCTGCGGAAGTAATACCTAGCACCTTAGCGTTCACATAGAGACCGACGGGGCAGCATGGGTCACATGCTCCCGGAGACGTGCCCCGCTCAGGAAGCAAGTGGCTGCATTCTGCACCAGTGCCAGCCTCCGGCCAGCTCTAACAGACACCCCACACAGGGCTCATTGCAATAGTCTGAAACTGGTGCCAGGCCTGGAGAACAGCACCAAGGGTGGGACGTGAGAGGGAAGGTGCCACCCTCCGGCCAGGCACTGAAGGTGTATGGCTGTCTGGGTTACAGCTGTGACTGCATCTCCCACCGCTGCTGCGGCCTAGAACCACCCCTGGAATTCCTTGTTGCTTGGCTTTGCATAGCAAAGGAGTAGGAGACAAGCAGCTCTGTGCTGGCTCTATGCCCCGGCCCCTCAGCCGTGCCACGCTTGCAGCCCACATCAGCTCAGTGGGAGAGGAGCACGTAGTGCCTCCCGTCAGACCCGCTGCTGACTGAGCCATACAACCACCTCTCCCCAGGCCGGCAGCTCTCAGATGTCCATGCTTCAGGAGCCAAATTACCCGAGAGCTGCAGCAGCGTGAACTCACTGCACAAGTCACACAGCAAAGTGACCGACCAATGCCAGTCGGTTACTGACACTGTAGAAACATCCCGACTAACAACGAAACCACACGCATTTTAATACCACGGCTGCCCCGAGCCGCTGGGGCATGTTAGGGAGTGGCAGGCCGCGTATCACTGACCTGAATCCAAAAGCCTGTTTCCAGGGTCTCTTTGCACTGTGAGGTCCTGGGAAGCCAGCCTGTAATGCTCTGCACCCCCAGGAGACCATGCAGCAGGTATTTCCTTGCAAGGCTGGTCCCAGAGGGCGGTGGCAGCAGGTGTGTGGCGCTGGCACATGCCTACCTGTTCTAGGCAGCTCCGACACGTTTCCTGGATGAGCTGCTCTGGATCCACGTCCTCCCCGACGTTCTCTCTCACGTTACCTGCTGCCTTCTGGAAAAACTGGGAAGGGGCCCAAGGAGAGAGTTAGCATGACACTGGCTGCTCTCAGCTCTTTCCACAGAAGGCTGCCTCCTTGGGACAAGGCTGTTCTCTGCACAGACAAAAGCAGGGTCTGGCAATTCCAGGGTCCACCTCTGCTCATGCCTAATACCATCAGGGTCAGCACTGAGAACACGGGACGTAGTCCCATTCGGAAGCTCCGTATCCTTTGGGAGAAGACTCCATGCTCTCTGGTCCCTCAGTGCCCTCCAGCAGAACTCACTTTTACAGTTCTGTGGATTTCAGACCAGGAGTCCTGGAGTGGGACCCTTTCAGGGTTAGGCAGAGCAGCCTTCACCTGCCCCTCTTATTCAGTTCACAGGGTTGGGTTGTGTATGTGACTTGGCCTATGGGGCAGGGCTTTCACAGTGGCAGCACCTTCCAGCACAGGCTAGAGGCAGGGGAAGGATGATGTCCATCCAAGAAATTTCCCTCTTCCTGTGAGCTTTACCTTCATGTATTTATTGAAGACAGTCTGGATCTCCTCATTAATACTAGGCTGCAGAACAGCTCGCAGCAAATCCATGGAGACAGCAGGGTCTGTAAAGCTGAATGAGAGAGAAATGACTCCACCTGGCTTTCCTGCCACACCTAGCACACCACCCAGACAGTCCCCAAAGCCCCACGCGGCAGTGCTCTCCCGAATGCTCTCACCCACGTGAGTGTCCGCCAGAGTTTACAGGCGTCTGCAAAGGACACAACACAGGCTGCAAGCTGATTTCCACTCCAAAGCCAGCAGCGGAATTACCCACTGATTCCAACTCTAAGTCTCCCAGCAGAGGAGAACACAAAGTGCCTCTGGCTCCAAGTGTCAGCCCGAGAGGAGTGTGGTTTGCACGCAAGTGATGTAAACACACAACTGGGTTCAACAAAGAACGAGATCGGTTCCCAGAGCACAGGCCGATCTCTGGCTATTAGCCGAGATGATCCTAACCCTCGTAACTGCCAGAAGCTGGGCCTGGATGACAGGGATGGATCACTCGATACATTGGCCTGTTCTGTTCACTGCCTCGGATACATCTGGCACTGGCCACAAGCTGAAAGCCAGGACACTTGGGCAGACAGATCTTTGGCTTGGCCCAGTATGAGCATTCTGATGAATCCCCCACTTCACCAGGATCAAACAACCTGCCACGGCCCCTAGAACGCCGGATATCTCACAGTGTGGCCTCAACCCCTTAGCAGCTAGGGAGCATTTCCAGCCCCAAAGAATATCAGTTCCGTGGGTAGCGAGCCCCACTGTACAGATCGAGCGCCCCACATTGTGGCTGGCCCAGGGAGCGGGTGGCAGAGGCAGGACCAGACTTCACACGGAGCCTTTCTCTGGCCCCGGAGAATATCAGTTCCGTGGGTAGCGAGCCCCACTGTACAGATCGAGCGCCCCACATTGTGGCTGGCCCAGGGAGCGGGTGGCAGAGGCAGGACCAGACTTCACACGGAGCCTTTCTCTGGCCCCGGACGGAGCCTTGCCCGCTGGGATCACACAGCGGGTGTCAGAGGAGACTTGTGCTGCTGGGAGCGCGGCCAGGGCAGCTGTTACCTCGTGGCCATCTGGGAGCGTCGCCCGCGCCGCTGCACCTGCCGGGGCTTGATCCTGATGTTCCAG